GAACACGTGTTGTCCCAGTACTCTGGTGTTGCCTGAATTGGTAGGATTCCATGTTCGTGGCCTCTTACACTTTTTCTAAGCACAGGTGCTTAGTCACTTCTGCTTGAAGGGGCTCTGGCTCTGCTTGGCATGCAGAAGGTCCCAGGTTCAATCCCCACCATCTCCAGTTAAAAGGATCAGGTAAGAGGTGATGCGAAAGACCTCCACTTGAATCCCCAGGGAGCTGCCACCGGTCTGAGTCAACAGTACTGACTGTGATGGACCCAAGGGTCTGATTCAGTAGAAAGCAGCTTCATGCGAGACGGCCTTCTGACAGAAACAGGCTGGTGATCCATCATATCCAGTACTGTCTGCCCTGACCAGCAGTGGCTTATCTGTATTCTCACACAGGGACAGATCTTTCCTTGCACCAGAGATCCAGGGTTGAACCCGAGCTCTTCTGCATGAACGGCCGTAGCCCAGAGTTGCAGCCCTCTGGCCAACAGAGCCAGAGGACAGATATCGGGGAGCACATCTGAGTGGGAACGTATTAAGCATGGTTTTCTTCTTCTCTCATCAAACCGTTCCCCCCCCCCCCAAAAAGGATGATGGTGCTGAAGAAGAGAAGAATCCTGGGGCCACTGCTGTCAAAAAGCCATCTCCGTCCAAAGCGCGCAAGAAGAAGCTGAGCAAAAAGGGAAGGAAAATGGCAGGCCGTAAGCGCGGACGCCCCAAGAAGATGAACGTCATGAATCCAGAGCGCAAGGCCAAGAAGAACCAAACCGCACTGGAGCTTCTCCACGCTCAAACTGTGTCACAAACGTGCTCATCCTCTCCTCAGGGTAAGCCCGGGGGCCGAAGGAGACCCTGGCAGGGGTTTGGGGGTGGGAAACATGGCAGCCTCCTTTTCCTTGCCCATCCGTCTAAGTTGTTGGAGTGCTGGGCTGTCTTGGAAGGAATGCACGCCCCTTTCCTCTAAAGCTGAATGGTTGGCCCTGTTCTTTAGGTTCCCTGCATGTGACCGGACTTGATAATCAGTGGCCAAATGGAACCAGCTTTACCTTTCTTTCCCTCCAGATACATTCAGGGCCACTTACAGGCCCTCACACTTGTGTTAAATATTATAATACTTACTGTTTACGTATCGCTCGCAAAGCGCAATGTACGAGCACGTCACAACCTACCTCGATAATCCTTAAAAAAAACACAATTCCGTTACGTAGGATACTGTTGTAATATCTCTACATGGTAGATGGAAGGCTCGTGCAGAGGGGTGTGGGTGCGGCTTAAAGGGGGCAAATAATTTTGCGAAAGACACACGAGATTTTTATCTCCTGTTTCCGAGCCCAGCCACCGTGCTGGACTCCTGCTCTTTTACAGTAAAGCCTCACCAATATCAAACTTTAAAAGCTTTATAAAAAGAAAAAGAAAAAAGCCTACCATAACCGATCACCCTGCTGCGGTTATTCTGGCAAGGTGTGCCTTGCCCTTCCTTTGAAACGTTGAAATGGGAGGTAGGTGTTCTGTCGTCCCTCTTCCAGGGAGCTCATTCGAGAGCCAGGGGGCCACCACGGAAGAGGTCCTGTTTCAGCTCTCAACTGGCCACACCTGCCCAAGTGAGGAGATTCAGAGCAGGAACAGTGAGCCGGCTCATGGTGGTAAATGTCTTCCTGCATACTGGGAAGGTGATGTGGGCAAGGGGAGGAGGGGGCTACTCATCACTGTCATGTAGGCTAATGGATGCTTGGGAGCCACAAACAGGGTCACTGACACGGAGGGGACAGCTTCAGCAGAAGGAAGGTGGCCGGGCAAGCCGTAGCCCCATCGGCCATTTGCAAAACTGTATTGTCACCGTTGGTTCTTCCCATCCAGAAACGTATCGCTGGCCTTCCCATCCAGAAACGTATCGCTGGCTTACAGCACAGTTTGCAGTTATATAAACCGGGGTGGGGCACTTACGATCGGTGTCCTGCGAATCCAGCAGGCCAGTGGTTTTCAAACTCAAACAGCACCGCTTTGGTTTAAAGATACCTGTGGGACCCCCAAGCCTACAGATGTTACCATTTAAAGGGGGGGATCAGTTTCATGGAACACTGTTTATTTGCCCTCCCGCCTCAAGTAGTGCGATTACTGGGCAGAGCTGTTCGTTGCCATTGGGGTATGGGGCAGGCTTCTTGGAAACAAGTCTGTTTGTAGCAGACTTCTCTGTATGTCTTGAAACGGGCGTAAAACGTGCTTTACCCCTTGCCCTTTCCAAAGTCGGGGGCATCACTGCTTAGGATCAGGCCGAGCATCCAGAACCTCAGGAACAAGCTTTGGCTGAGAAAAGTAGGCAGGGTGGGGTTGGGGGCCTTTTTCCCCGTTTTCCTTTATCATCCACGGAAAGAGAGAGAAGAAATGGAGATGGGGTAGAAAGCAGACTGGAGCTCTTGAAGGTCTGCCCCCGCTGGAATTCTCCCTCCTCTGTTGAAGGTACTCAAGCCTCCCCCTTTGACCGCCTTAAAAACCATGTTCCTCTGGAAGCGACTCCTTGTCCCTTAGCAAAGTCAGCTCCGTGGGCTGGTGCACCTTGATCAAGGGGAGGGGATCAATTGCTGCCCCTCTCCCCTTTTGCCAGTGACAACCCCCCCCCCCCCGGAAGGCCCTTGCTGTGTTTCTGTAGGCCGCAAAGTGTCGGGAGTAGGGTTGCCAAGTCTGGCAAACTCACCGACGGGGGAGGCTTCTCCGGCTCCGGGAACCGGCTCCAAATGCGCGCGCGCCGCCAGCACGTCGACGGAAGTGACATGCGATGTCACTCACGTTGGGGGCGTGGCCCAGATAGTCAGGGGGGAAACCATATGGCGGAGTTCCCCCCGGGGCCCGATTCCGCCGCAGCGGAAATCGGGCCTTCAAAGCGGGGGTTTCCCCGCGCCCACCCACACTTGGCAGCCCTAGTCAGGAGATATCAGCAGCTTGACTGTTGGCAGTCTTTGACATGGGCCTGAGCCCTGCTGGGGGCTGACCTCACAGAGTCACTCCCACACCTGAAGGTGGAAGGAGAGCTGGGCCCACAGGTACCTCCTTCACTGGCACTATGGGCGTGCACCATGTCCCATCACGGCTTCGGCAAAGAGGAACGTAACATAAGAGCATAAGAGAAACCATGTTGCGTCAGGCCGATGGCCCGTCCAGTCCAACACTCCGTGTCACACAGTGACCAAAAGCCAGGTGCCATCAGGAGGTCCACCAGCAGGGCCAGAGCTCCAGAAGCCCTCCCACTGTTGCCTCCCGAGCACCAAGAATACAGGGCATCACTGCCCCAGACATAAGAACAGAAGAGAAGCCATGTTGGATCAGACCAAAGGCCCATCCAGCCCAACACTCTGTGTCAGCCAGTGGCCAAAGCCCAGGTGCCATCAGGAGGTCCACCAGTGGGGCCAGAACTCCAGAAGCCTTCCCACTGTTGCCCCCCAGGCTCCAAGAAGACAGAGCATCACTGCCTCAGACATGGAGTTCCATCTATCCGTTGTGGCTAATAGCCACTGATGGAAGAGCACAGCCATCTCCTCTCCAGCCATAAAAACCCAGCCACGTGGGACATGCCTCCAAGAAGCTTCCATGCAAGCATCTATTACTATTTTTTTATGTTTTATAAGACTGACAGAATGAGAAAGGCAAGGATGACAGTTTATGGCACCGTCTTTATTGCTTTTCAGCACGGAATTGTACTGAGAGGTGCGGAGCCCCACAGCCCCCCCTGTGCTGTGCAGCTGTACAGCACTTGCAATGCTGTACAGCACCATGCAAGTGCCTTCCCCACACCCCCATAGCTGTCCAGCCTATGAGTGGCCAGCTTAGGTGAACTCCTTCCTTCAGGAGGTGCCTTACTACTTGAGCTCAGTTGCCGGAACAGTGGAACAGTCAGGGGCATCTCTCCCTTATTGCCCACCCAGTGGGTCTTCGTGGGTCCCCAGGGGTTGGTAGAGCCCTTCCTAGAGGTCCAATTGCGAGAGGACAAGCAGTGGAGGTAGTGCGTATTCTCCGAAGGCCGTCTGCAGCAGTACAATTTTAAGCCTTGCTCTGGAAAGACCAACGCTCAGCTTATCCTGAAAGGATGCTTTGTAACCTTGGCTTTGTAAGGATGCTCTGTAACCTGTAGAAAAGCTTTTTCTCTTTAATATCTGCCCTCCTTTTCACTGAGCCCCTGTAGTGTCTGTTCATCCGCTGGAAAACGCCCTGCATGTCTTCCATGGAGGTCCTTGTGGGATTCTGGGAGTTCTAGGGAGCACAGGTGTCGATGTGGCCAGGTGGTCCTCACCTTTGCCCTTAAACACACCTGGGTGTTCCCTTGTGGCTGCATGCATGGTGTACAGGGACCCATCAGCTTCCTCGGCAGCTGCCGCCGCCGCCACACTGAGCAGGGGTGGCCAAACCGCAGCTCGGGAGCCACATGCGGCTCTTCCACACAGTCTAATTTAATGTTAATAAAAAGCAAATTTGCTTATTTTTCAATAAAAACGTGTGTGTGATATTTGTTCTCTCAGACATCTGGCGTTTATTCTGTGTGGCTGTTAACATTAAGCAAGTTTGGCCACCCCTGCGCCAGAGCATCATTTGAACAGTGTTGGCTGAGAGAGCCGAGCGGCTCGGTGCGTGCTGCTCCCTCAGTCGCAGAGTCTCACTGGTCTTAACCCTTCGGAGTCACGGTCTCTGTCCTCTCTTCTTTTCCAGATGCCTACAGGTCACCTCATAGTCCATTTTACCAACTACCTCCTAAAGTGCAGCGGCATTCATCAAACCAGCTGTTGGTGACTCCTACCCCACCTGCACTACAGAAGCTGCTAGGTAAGAGCCCTTCCCCTCCCGTTGGCGGACAAATGGGGAGGCGGGCAGCTAGAGCCATCAGGGGCTGGGGGCTGAGCTAGGGATGCCAGCCTCCAGGTGAGACCTGGGGATGCCTTGGGATTTACAGCTCATCTCCAGTCTACAGAGATCAGTTCCCCCAGTGAAAATGGCTGCTTTGGAGGGTGGATTCTATGGCCTTGTACCCCACTGAGGTCCCTCTCCTCCCTATACTCCATCCCCAAATCCCCAGGACCCCAGGAATTTCCCAACCTGGATCAGGCAACCCTTACCTTCCCCCATTCCCCTGCTGGTGGGGGGTCTGGCAGCCCTCGTGGGAGGCCAAGATTCATGATCCCTGACTGCACAAAGCCACCTTTGTGACAAGTCCTATCGTGAGGTCTCGGGTGAAGGCCTTTCCCTTGAGCTCCTTTCAACCGGAAACATCAGGGGATTGAAACCTGGGGGATTGAGATTCAGCTTGCTTGAGCCCCTCCTGAAACTGGCGACCCAGCTGCCTTGTTGGGAAGGGTTCCCTCTAAGCTGAGTCAGTGTGAGCCAGCTCACAGTTCTTTAGCCTTCAGCTCACACATTTTTGTCTCCGCTCAGGAAGGAGGGCTCCAGGGCAAACAAATGTGTGTGGTCGCCCAATCGCCCGCTCACAACTTCAATGCCAGGAGCTCGCAAAGTAGAATTTTTGCTCACAAGACTCTGACTGGTGCAAGAAGGAGGAGAGGTGACCTCTCCTGGTTCTGCTGTGTCCTGCAGCCCCATCCATCATGTGGCTTGCTGTCCACACAGGGCCCACAGTCCTTTGCGCAGCCTTTCCAGGGCTTGAAAGAGCCCTTCCCGCCCTCCCTCTTGTGCTAATGGAAATGTTGGCTGGGTCAGACCCGACACATGGAGGCTGTGCAGAAGGTGCTGCTGAGTTGCAACTCAGGGCTGCTAACACTCTCCTCTCTCTCATCCCCTCCCCCCTTGCTTTGTCCTACAGACTCCTTCAAGATCCAGTACATGCAATTCATGGCATACATGAAGACTCCTCAGTACAAAGAGAACCTCCAGCAGCTGTTGGAACAGGAAAAGGTGGGTGACTTTCCCAGGGGCCTCCTGGTGGTTCTGAAGTTGAGCGGATGTCAGGGGCATAGAAAAGCCCCTCTTGATGGTAAAGTTGTGTGTGGGTTTGTGTGTGTGGGTCACTTAATCCCCGCAGGGCTCTTTTTGTAGCAGGAACTCCTTTGCATATTAGGCGACACACCCCTAATGTAGCCAATCCTCCAAGATCTTACAGAGCTCTTCTTACAGGGGCTACTGTAAGCTCTTGGAGGATTGGCTACATTAGGGGGGGTGTCGCCTAATATGCAAAGGAGTTCCTGCTACAAAAAGAGCCCCAGTGTGATGTAAGAGCTCTGCCCCCCCACCCCCAAGTTATCAATCTGGAAAGTAGAAGAAGAAGAAGAGATTGGATTTATACCCTGCCCTTCACTTGGAGTCTCAGAGCGGCTTACAGTCTCCTTTCCCTTCTCCTCCCCACAACAGACACCCTGTGAGGTAGGTGAGACTGAGAGAGCTCTTTCCAGAACTGTCCTTGAGAGAACAGCTCTGACAGAACTATGGCTTGCCCAAGGTCATCCAGCAGGTGCAAGTGGAGGAGTGGGGAATCAAACCCGGTTCTCCCAGAGTAGAGTCCACACACTTAACCACTACACCGAACTGGCTCTCCGGTATAGCCCAGAAGTCGTCTGCCTCGTATCACATCACTTTGGCCTGTATCTAGATATGTTGCACAAAGAGCTGGTGGTATCCTACACTAGTAGAGAGAACTGCAAGCGTAGGATATAAACATCAAATGCTTCCTTCCATTGAAAAAGCAAACCGCTCCCTGCAGGCAGTGAACGAAACACACCAGGAAGAAGGAAGTGCTGGTCTTGGAACTTTCTCTCTGCAGTGCCATTTTGTGGCAGGGAGTTCAAGCATGTGATTCCCCTGGTTCATCCCGTCACCCCAGGATTCAGCCACTTTCTCCCACTTGTTCGATCCAGCCTTTTAGACCGGGAGGGATTCTCCCAGCGTTCGTCTGGCAATCCTTCCCCTCCCCCTGAGTGGCGTCTCACGGGTTTATCATCTGAGAAATGCCAGCGATGTCGTTTGGGTGAAGGTGGCCCAACCCGTTCAGCCAACTATGAACAGACAGTGCCTGGAGAGATTATTATTTCTTTTTTCAGTAAGGTAATGTTGACTGCTTCAAAAACCCATGCTTCCCTATAGTGAGAGTTCCCCCTACTCCTTTCTAAAAAAAATAAAAAAAATAAAATAAAAGATTGCCACCGGTCCTCAAGACAAATCCATATGGTCTGGATGCATGCTCTGTTTTGTTTGACATAATTTCTGGATAGTGATGTCAGCAGCTGCATCAAAATATTCCTTATGGGCTTGCTGCATTTGAAGAAAGGGGCGTGTGTGTTTGTGCTTCAGGAGGCCCCAGCAGCGCTGTAACAGATGGACCTGGGTCTGGCAAGGGGTGACCTCTCGGCTGATTTCTCTTTCAGGAAAAGAATACGCATTTGCTCGGGAAAGCCCAGCAGTTGTTTTCTCATTGCCAAGCTCAGAAAGAAGAAATAAAGCGGCTGTTCCAGCAGAAGCTAGATGAGGTACCAGCCCACAGGGGAGAGCGGGCTTGGTTTTGGGGTGTGGGGTGTGCCGATGATGCCTCGTGCAGAGCCGGATGGTTGGTCATGAAGCTGCTTACACTGAATCAGGCCACTGGTCCGTCAAGGTCAGTATTGTCCACTCAGACTGGCAGCGGCTCTCCAGAGCCTGGTAGAGGTCTTTCACGTCACTGACTGTCAGATCCTTTTTGACTGGAGATGGTGGGGATTGAACCGGGGACCTTCTGCGTGCCAAGCGGATGCTCTGTCGCTGAGCCCCCCCCCCCCCAACCTAGTCTGCTTTGGCTATCTTAAGCCTCTGCTTGGGATGCGCACAAGCCTAGTTAGCCCTATAAGCCCTTTCCTTCCCTTTGTGCCACGAAGAGGAGAGCAAACGCTTCCACTTCCAGTACATTATAGCTTGCTGCGTGTCAGACTCTTGAACAAACTTGCTCTCAGCAACACTCTCTTTGCGGTGATTTGTTCATTGAGAGAGGAGGATGTATCAAGCTAAGACCATCTTGTGTCAGAACTGACTCTTTTGGCACCAGTCCGAGTATTATACATAATTCAAATGAGCCCACCCCAATGATCTGTCCAATCAATCCATTCGTGCAGCCCACCTAAACCTAGCGCTCTCCACTAGCCCTCCTCCTTCCCCCCCCCCACCTGCGAACCTATCCTTACATTATCTACTGAAGCCGGCTAGCGGAGACTGGCATTCAAGGTCGTTGCACATTCTTCCTAGCTCGGGAGGCTCACTTGGAACGCAGTTGTAAATCAGCTCAGCAAAGCGTTCTTGGACACTCACACACACTCACCCACATGCAGCCCCCCCCATTTCCCATAGGGAAGAAACCAGGCATTACAGGTACAGTACAGGCCATAAACCAGAACATGAGAGATCCATGGCAAATGAGGACCCGAGTCTGACTCTGTGACATCCCAGTTCTGGCACCCGGGCAA